TCTTTGATTTTTTCTTCTACAACCAACTTTTTGTCTTTAGGCAACTTTAGATACATGTCACTAATAAATACTTGATTTTCCATGAATTTGTAACGACCTATAGTACCAACAATGTCTTTCAGAATAAAGCTTTCTGTTTCATGGTATGTTTGATAAATGGCATGTAGTCTAGAGATTTCTACAGAACGTTCTAGGTCTATAGTTTTTAACTTATTGRTATATGTARACAACTCTTCCYCCAGATGTTTTYCATACGTTRCTAAAGTTYAAAGATATGTCRTGTCATGTTTTGAAGTGTTTTCARATGCTTTCWSCAWCGTTTTCCACACTAKTCTAGATTTAGACTCTGTATTAATTTGTTTTATATCGAGTTGCTTTTTTGTTTCCTCCAGGTTTTCCAAGGTTTGACATTCCATAGAGATAAATTCCATATTCCAATCATATCTGCGTCTTATTTCCATCAACTTGTCCCACAGCTTTGCAAAACCCACTAGCATATTATTTTCCATCTCTTCAGTAGGTATACTACATAATTCCTCAGAGGAGGGAATGCTCTCTGTTTGCTGTTGTTTTGAATGAATCGGTGAACTGACGAGAAACAGAACTGATATAATAGTGATGTCATAAGAGCTGAACATTCTGTTGCCATGGAGATCATATATTCCATTAAACAAACTGATGATGTCACTGATGACATCATCATCATCATTAGCATATAGCTGCTCTATTTATGCATTTCCATTGGAACAGACTGATTTCACTGATGACTTCATCATCATCATCATCAAAATTGCTAAAAATTGAATTTGCTAAAAAGTATAAAGAGTTAGAATTTCAAAAGTCATAGCCAGAATGTCCTGAATGTGCTGAACATTTTCATATATGAATGTTGAAGTAGCATAAAAGTTGTGGAAGGAGGTTTCTTAGCTGTTCTTAGCTAAAGTTTTCAGCTAAAGAGGCATTCACACTAGCATTTTCACCGGAAATGTAAATTCTCTAGTTTCTAATAATCGGGTCAAAGGCTGAAATAACAATAAGAATAAGACATAAATAAGTTTTATAATTTTTTGTTTGAGCTCACATCGAGCTCATTGTCTGCCCCCCCTGCCTTTTTTTATTCTTTCAGAGAGATATATTTTTATAGTTCATGATTTATAATGTTTCTTTTCTGTGAAAGACCTAAAATTCAGCATAAACCTTTTTGTACAACATAATTATGACATAACATGTTATAAAATGGTTTTGTGAATTATTTTTAATTCCAGTTGTGTTAAAGTTTCCTTGTAAACAGTTTAAATAACCAGTAAAATCAAACATGAACATTTTTTTTATAATTGTGTTGACTATCAGAGTGAAACTGGTCATAATGTCTGTGGTTTTGCTCCAGACGGGTTTAGATTGTAAACGATTGTTTCTGACCTCAGTAATGATTGTGGCTGATTGTTCTCCATCGGCTGCTGCTGAGGCCCCTGCTGGCCCCCGCTCCTCCAGGAGGCGCAGGGAGGACTGCAGCTCCAAACAGGTCCGCGTGAAAAGACGGAGGTCGAACGATGAGTAACCAACAACATTCTCCTCCTTCAGTTTTGTCTCCATCCACCTGATGGCAGCACCGTGGGCCTCTGAAGATCTGACAGGTTCTTCCTGCAAACCTGAGCCTCTACACACCTGAGCCTCTACACACCTGAGCCCCTACACACCTGAGCCTCTACACACCTGAGCCTCTACACACCTGAGCCTCTACACACCTGAACCTCTACACACCTGAGCCTCTACACACCTGAACCTCTACACATCTGAACCTCTACACACCTGAACCTCTACACACCTGAGCCTCTACACACCTGAACCTCTACACATCTGAACCTCTACACACCTGAGCCTCTACACACCTGAGCCTCTACACACCTGAACCTCTACACACCTGAGCCTCTACACACCTGAGCCTCTACACACCTGAACCTCTACACACCTGAGCCTCTACACACCT